AAATCCAAAAGGCTCCACCGCCCATTAGTTCAAACCTCCAACCAACGATGATCTCTTCTGATTGAGATTCTGCTCCGCCGCCGCCGCGATCTCATCGGCAAGCCAGACCTCATGAAGCCCGTCCAGTTCGTCTCTACCGGCACCGTCATGCCGGACCAAGAGATCGAGAAGGAGAACGATATCTCCGACTCCCCGACTGCATCATCTCCGAAACCCTTTATTTTTCGCCCAGGGCAAAAAAGATTCCTGGCTACGCCACTGCTAGCACATATTTTTAGATTTCTCTGTGAACTAAAATAAGTAAAGAATATGAATTATATCGAACGTATCTCCTTTATTCAATAACATGTTAAGTCTCATTATGAACGTGATAAACCATTTAATTACCAATTCAAAGAAGATAGGATAATTAGAAAAGATTAGGATAACAATGTAATATTCAAAAAAAAGTTAAGGGTAATATTGAGCATGGAATTTTTTTTCCAAACTCGTACTTTTAAAGGGATTATGATATGATATGATATACGTATACATATATACATACATATACATAATATTTAATAATTAAGTAAATATTGAATATATATTCTAAGAAATATAGTTAATATTATATATAATAAATCTTACATGTACAAAATAAGAAATAGTAAAGTATTAAAATAAATATATTTATTTCATGTGCATTAAATATTTTTGAAGAATTTAAATTAAAACCTTTAAATAAATATACTCATATGAAATATATTTAATTAATAATTAAATTCTAATGTACTCAAAATTAAATATTAAATAAAATTAAAATTAAATATATTAATAGGTAATATTACATATATTAACATTTAAATTATCTATATTACATGTGTTCATTTGAAATATTTAAAATAATTAAAATTTTAAATATAAAACTAAATATACATATAAGGCGGTTTTCCGGTATTCGTCCGAAGTGAAGGAGGGTTTTCTGATGTTTACCCTAATATAAAATATTAGATTCACCTGATGATAAATACTTTGATTTAGCGCTTGATGTAAGTTTCATATTCTTTTGCCAATGGATCCCATATACTTTTTTGTATATCAATTTCTATTTGGAATGAAAAAAGATATAAGTCGTGCATATTCATCCTCCACAACTTGAAATCCATCTCAATCAAACTTTTTCCATCTAGATATATTTTTGCACTCTCCATGTTGCAAAAGCTTTCCTCTCCTTAGCAGTACTAAAAAAAACCACTCTCCATGTGTTAATGTTGAATTAAAGCAGTCGAAGTCTATGTCCAATATCTACACAGAGGTTTGACCTGTGTCAAGGCAACAAAGACTACATATATAAATGCTGCAACACTGTAATTGAGTACACTTCAACTAACTACACATGGAATCAGTCAACAATACCAAGCTTGATAATCATAGTTCACAACCTAAACTGCAATCCAAGCTCCAATCTTAAGCTCACATTGTACAAGAATTGAACATGTTGTAAACTAAGAACCTAAGCCTGCTCTCTCTTTTACATAAAAAAGATAAGTTCCCTCAGAAAGATAGTAAGTGTCAAATTCAGTTTTAACTGTTGCAATTAAGTAATAGCTAACGATAGATTGGTTAACTGCTCCTTCCTATTTTCTGTACTGACAAAGTCTACTGTTGTATTTTATGAAATAAGAATCTGTTCAAGATCTATTGTCCATAGATGGGCTAACTACTCCTTCCTATGTCTACACTGGCAGAAAGTCTATGGTGGTATCATCTGAAATGAGAATCTATATCAGATCTTCATAGTGTAAATGGTTAGCAATTAAGAAGACAGTATCCTGGACATAGCTTTTCTATAAAAATAACAATCTAACACAAAAGCTTTCAGTATTAGGAAATTAATTAGTTTGATGGTTCAAGTAGATTTTGTGTCTTTGTGCACAAACCATGTGCATGATTTTCCAGTTTGAGTTCAAGTTATTGTGGCTAATGCAGATCTTTGTGAAACATTCATTTTGTGAGAACTTTTGACATAGTAAGTAACACTAAAACATTTGATGTGTTTGATATGGAGTTCCATATGTTGTAGGTCTGAAGGAAACTAGATATTAAATATGTCTTAACTGAAGACTGTAATTCTGTGCATCAATACCATAATTGTTCCTCTTTGTTTAGACTGTCTAGGAGTATTTTGGGATGTTGATCCGTGGTGCATGTGCCTCAACTATTTGATTGTTGAGTTATATTTAGCTAGTTTTTCTGTTTAATATATTTTCAGGTATTGGAGAATTTTTCTAAGTTTCTTTTTCAACTAATTGATATTTTCTATTCTCTCTCTGGTTATTTGAGCTAGTTACACCAAAAGTACATGTAAATAAACCTGAAACATACTGTATGCCTTTGGTGCAGAGATATGGTCCAGTTATTTCCACCATTCCCCAACAGTTATCAAGACTACAATTCAAAATGGTCGATAATGCCTGAAGCTTGTACTCCAATTAAGTGATTGACTGAATTAAGGTTCTCTAACATATATATGTCCCGGTTTGTGCCATATTATACCTTAAGTTATTACCAACGTGTACCACTCCTGTCAACAACATATATAAGTAGTAGTAAAGATAGTAGTAGTAAAGATCTTGTGAATATCGCAAAAACTAAGTTGCTATGACACACTTAATACATTGAAAGTAGTAGTAAAGATCTTGAGAATATCGCAGGAAAAAAAATCATAAAAGTACTTAACTAGATAGATCCATATCAGGTTCATTTTAACCGCATAAACTCCAAACAAACATTCAGGTCCAAAATCTAATAAAATCACAAATGTCCCTAATAAAATTATTAAAAATTACAAATAGGACTTGAAGAAGCAATTGAAGCTCACAAAATGAAAAATTACAAAATAAATAAATCCAATTTTTTGAGAAGAAATAGCTTTTACGTTAATGAATCTTACCTCAGGGATCGACGAGATTAGTAGCTTGACGACGTTATCCGCAGCACCTAAGAAATTTTTTGGAAATCGGAGAGATCGGAGAGGAGAGAAAACCAACGGCGAAACCAACGGCGACGAAACCAACGGCAAACCCTAGAAAACGGGGACTAGCTCGACGACGAAACCAACGGCGACGAGATCGGAGAGATCGGAGAGGAGCTTGGAGATGAGATCCGATCCGAAAATAGCGACGAGATCTTGGCCACGGCAATTTTAGGGATCGGAAAATTTTGGAGACGATTTTAGGGATTTCATTTGAGAGAGAGAGAGAGAGAGAGAGATATTTGGTTGCGGTCAGATCGGGCTTAAGAAACTCAACTCCTAGACCCACTAACAAATATTAAGCCCATGAACAATTATTTGATCTATGGCAACATTTTCCATTAAATGTTGTATTAGTTACCGTAAACCGTTACGATAGATATCTAACGCAACAGTTAGAACCGTTGCGTCTTAACCGCTACAATAGATCAATTATGTGGTAGTGTGTGTGAACCTTAGTTCATTGATGTGTTGACCATGTCTTGTTTTCCATTTTACTATGTGAAAATATCAAACGCTAAAGTGTTGCATGAACTTATGACAAATTCACTGCTTTGTTTAAGGAGAGTTATCTCAAAAGTAACCAATGTCAAGGGGATTTTGTGAAATTAACCCTATAAGTACACTTTGCACTTTTAAAAAAGGATCTTAAGAAGGTGGAGAAGGCAGAGATGAAGAAAAGACAAATAATCTCTTACACTAGTAATTTATAATTTAATCTATGCTAAAGAATGTCATACATACCACGATAAAAAAAAAGAATGTCATACATACCAATTAGATTCATTCATTATTTTATTTATAAACGAGTCAAATCTTAATACCCAAAATATACTCATAACCAAGTATTAATCCAGATTCAGCTGTTTGTTCTGAAATGTACAATATCTCTCCTCCGTTTTATTCATTCTAAATTTGTTTCTGAAACCAAACACCCGAGAAAGAAAACTTTTACTATTGAGGCAAAGGAAATGGTAAAATGTATAGTTGGGTTCTCATTATTGGTTCCTTAAAGCTTTAATATTTTGAAATTAGGCCCTCAAATCAGTAAAGTTATTTCATTTAGCTTTGATTTGGGAAAATATTTCATTCACGTTAGCATTTATTAAGGAAACAATTAATACCGTTATTTTTTAATTGTTAAAGTGGAATAATTTTTCGCTAGAGTGGAATATTTTAGTGGGATAAATAGGACCAATTTTGTGAAGCAGTATATTTTGATAAAATAACGTGGGATAAATTTTTATAATCATGAAATATATATTTATGCATTTTGAAGATATAAATAATATTTATGTATTTTAAATTTACTATTATTGATTGATAATTGGTTACAAGAATGTTCTTTACTATTAAATAACTTTTGGTTAGACTATAAGATATTGATAATTATTATTATAATGATGGTCTAATGATGGTGATAACCATAATAGGAAAGAAGAAAAAAAAATATAAAAAAATAACAAAATAAATATGAGTTCTAATTTTTTACCACCTAGTTCCAAGATAAAATTTGGAATAATTTGAGAAACTAGAACTCTCATTTGTATAGAAAAATAAAAAAAGTGGGATAATTTTGTATCATTATCCAATTCTAGTTTTGTTAGAGTTCTTGACTAACAGTGTAAAATTTTGTTCTAGTTTTAGTTCTATGTGACTAACACTTAAAAAATTTATCCCACAAATTATTCCGGTTCCAATTTTAATTTCTAGGTGACTAACCCCCCTTAAAACTTTTTTTAGAACCTGTTATAAAACTATTTTGCATGAAGGGTATTGAGGCTAGAAATATACCTTCTTATTTGTGATTAACAACGAGTAATGGGACTAATTTGAAAATAACTAATAAGATTTGAGGTAACTTGCTAGCAATTTCAATAATTTAAGGAGCTATTCAAAATATTAAATATTTAAAGGACGAATATTGAAAAGCCTTTTCTATTTGGGCCCGAGTCTCGGGTCTCTACGTATAAAAATACTATCTCATACGATTGGGGCTTCGGCCGGTCCCTTTCCTAAAACCCCGACGAGAAGGGTAACGAAAGAGGAGAGCAAGCGAGCGAGCGCGCGCTTCTCTGCTTCCTTCAGCGATGGTGAGTTTTCATCAAATTCCTCCAAAAATTTCTCAAGATTTCTCTTCTCTTTATCTATTTTTTTGTTGCTGAAATTGTTATTACTGATTTGATGCTCAAATTTCGCTGTTGCAGTTCTCAATCGCCGCGATCAACGACCCCGAGTCCTGCGGCCAGTGGGAACCCCTCGCGCCGACGAAAGAAGCCCAGGTTCACACTCGATAGCTCGTATGCGAATCTTTGATTGTTTTTCTGATGTTTCTTGCAAATGCGTGAAATTTGATTGGTATAATTGGGGTCGGAGAAGTCAGTGTAGAAATTAGGGTTTGAATTCGAGGGCGTAGATGATTTTGCTACGATAGGGTTTATTTAGTCCCACATTGGCAAATTAGTTCAACCTCTAGGAAGTTCAGTTCTTTCAGTTCTTCATATATTTCGCTATGTTTTTAATGTTTGATTTTAAGAGAATACTGAGGGATAAAGTTGTGGTTGATCGAAGAGGTTAATGTGAAGTTGGCAGTATTGAAAGCCATCCACCGGCGGCTCATATTGAGCCACAATTTGCCAGACTTCTCTGTCGACTACAGAGTTTGAACACATTGATGGGTCCCACATGATTTGGACGTGTTTTCAAGTCATGCTTGAATTCGGAATTCGGATTGGGGAGTTGTTTGGCTAGTTGGACTCCTGTTTGGATTCAGATTGGGGAGTTGTTTGGCTAGTTGACTCATGTTTGGATTCGGATTGGGGAGTTGTTTGGCTAGTTGGACTCGAAATTGAGGGAGATTATAAATAAAAATTGTCTAGGGTCTCTCTAGTTTTGATAGTAAAAATTGATATTTATTTTGGCTTTGTAAGAGAGAGATTAGGGTTTCTAATCTTCTTCGTCTTCGTTGTAACCTCTTGATAAATAGTGGATTGTCGATCTTGCCGGTTGTGGACATAGGCATCTTTCCGAACCACAATTAATCCTTGTCTTTTTCCTTGTGAGTTAGTTGCACATCAGTGTTTGACACAATAATTGGTATCAAAGCTACGATAGTTCTTCCTACTGGAATCAGAGAAGATGGAGTCGAGTTCTAACTCGGATGTCAGATATTCAAAGGGTGCTTCAATCTACGGGATTGAGAAGTTTAATGACCAGAACAATTTCAGTTTGTGACAAACACAAGTTAAAGACGTTCTCATCAAGGAGAAGCTTTACAAGGTGTTGAGAGCGGTAAAACCCGGCAACATGGAGAAGGATGATTGGGAGGAGCTCGACTTGAGTGCGTGAAACACTATTCGTCTATGTCTATCAAAGGATGTCGCCTACAACTTTCAGAAGGAGACTTCATCCAAACATATCTGGGATAAATTGGAGAGTAGATATCAGAAGAAGAACCTCACGAGCATGCTTTATCTGAAGAAGAGGTTATACAAGTATCGGATGGATCCAAGTAATTCTATGAGCGATCACATAAATGAGTTCATGAAGATTATTACCGATCTGTCCAACCTTGATGATATTGTCAAAGATCAAGATAAAGCTATTATCTTGATGTGTACTTTGCCGGATTCTTATGATACACTAGTTGACACGTTGTTGTATGGAAAAGAAAAGATATCTTTTGAGGAGGTTACATCGACGATGTTGTCGAAGGCTTCTAGGAAGCAGGATGATAGTAAGGAGGAGCAGGGTGAAGGATTGTATGCAAGAGGAAGATCAGAGAAGACTGGGAAGAATAGGAGTCGGTCCAAGTCCCGAAACCGAAAGAATGTCGAGTGCTATTTTTGTCATCAAAGGGGTCACATGAAGTTTGATTGTTCGAAGCTGAAAGCTAAGGCCAATAAACAGGAGATGAAATCAGGTAAGCAAGAAGAAGCATCAGTGGCTCAGGCTTCTTACGATGATGAGCCAGAGGAAGTTCTGATGAGTACTTCACACAGTTATTTATCAGACGGCTGGTTGTTAGACTCGGATGCATCCTACTATATGTGTCCTCACAAGGAGTAGTTTTCTACTTACAGACCGGTTGAAGGTGGAAACGTCTTGATGGGTAATAATGTTACTTGCAAGACGGTTGGGGTAGGCACAGTTCGAGTTCAGATTTTTGATAGGGTGGTGAGAACTCTGACAGAAGTAAGGCATGTTCTAGCTTTGCGGAAGAGTCTGGTTTCTATGGGAACTTTGGAGTTCAGTGGCTATAGGTTTGTAGGGGATAATGAGATTCTAAAAGTTCTTCATGAAGACAAGGTGATGATGATAGGTAAACGACATGGTAATCTATATTTCCTTGAGGGAAGGTGATTACAGGAGCTATTGCGGTGTCCCAGATCAAGGAATCTGATTTGATATCTACTCGATTGTGGCATATGCGCCTTAGGCATATAAGTCAGAAGGGTATGACCATTCTCAGCAGACGTGATCTGCTTGGCGGTGAGAAGATATCAAAGCTTGACTTCTGTGAGCATTGTGTATTTGGGAAGCAGTGTAGGGTGAAGTTTGGCACTGCAGAGCATCGTACCAAGGGTATGTCAGATTACATTCATTCGGATGTTTGGGGTCTAAGCAAAGTCAAGTCTTTGAGTAGAGCTAAGTAGTTCGTGACATTTATCGATGACTTCTCGTGGAGAGTTTGGCTGTACACCATGAAGGAGAAATCTGAAGTCACCGATTTATTTATTAGATAGAAGACAATAGTCAAGAAGCAGACTGGCAGAGTTAAGCGGATTCGGTCAGATAACGGGGGTGAGTACACCTCTGATCCGTTGGAAGAGTACTGCAGGAAGCAAGGTATTGTCAGACATTTTACAGTGGTGCGAGCACCTCAGCAGAATAGAGTAGTAGAGCGTATGAATCACACCCTACTAGAGAGCACGGTGCATGTTATCAAATTCTCGTTTGGATAAGTGTTATTGGGCTAAAGCAGTAAACACGGCGTGCTATCTCGTGAATCGTTCACCGAATACATCCATTGATTCGAAGACACCTATTGAAGTATGGTCTGATACTCCCTTTGATTACAGTCATTTGAAAATCTTTGGTTGCCCTGCTTATTTTCACGTTCAGGAAGATAAGATTGGTGTGAGAGCTCGAAAGGATATTTTTTGGGTTATCAAAATGGTGTGAAAGGATACAGATTGTGGTGTTTTGAGTGGAAGAAATGTGTAATCAGTCAGGACGTGACATTCAATGAGTTGGCCATGCTAAACTCAAAGAGTGTCGATGTGGGAGATATCATCTCGGCTGGAAACATTAGTTCGGAGGGAATCAGGTTGGGTGTAAGTGGTGAAGATTTTTTGAAAGTGAAATTCACAACTTCATCGGTGTCTACTGATAAGGCAACAGTAGAATTAGAGGTTCCGGATGAGGGGCCTATTCAGCAGCAACAACCCTCCTTGGTAGACGATAGAGAGAGAAGACCCAATGCGGAGAAGGCACCAGTTCGTCACGGTTTTGAGGATATGACAGCCTATGCTTTATGCTTTATCTGTGTATGGAGATGAGCTCGTTACCTACAATGAGGCTATGAGAGGTGATCGTAGCAAGGAGTGAATGACGACTATAAGGGAGGAGATGAAGTCCCTTCATAAAATCATACTTGGGATTTGGTGGAAGCACCAAATAGGAAGAAGCCGATTGGGTGCAAGTGAGTCTATACGGTGAATGATGGCTTTCTAAGCTCTGATGGAAGTATATGTGTACGGTACAAGGTAAGATTAGTGGCAAAAGGGTATGCACAACTAGAAGGTGTTGACTATAATGAAGTTTTCTCTCCAGTCGTGAAACACACCTCTATCCGGGCCCTTTTAGCAATGGTTACGCAGTATGATATGGAGCTCGAGCAATTAGATGTCAAGACTGTATTCTTGCATGGAGATTTGGAGGACATTTATATGTCACAATCCAGTGTATTTACAGTTGCTGGTAAGGAGAATTATGTGTGCAAACTGAAGAAATCATTGTATGGATTAAAGCAATCGCCACGATAATGGTATAAGAGGTTTGACACATTTATGATACTGCAGAAGTTTACACGGAGTGAGCTTGATCATTATGTGTACTTCATGCAGGTTGGTGGTTCTTTCATATATTTGTTGCTCTATGTTGATGATATGCTTATTGCCTCACATAGTATGGTGGAAGCTAACAAGCTAAAGAGGAAGTTGAGTTCCAAGTGAGATGAAAGACTTGGGTCCTGCGAAGAAGATACTTGGGATGAATATTGTTCGAGATAGGAAGAAGGGGAGGTTGTGTCTTTCTCAGAGGTGGTATGTGGAGAAGGTGTTAGCTCGTTTTGGGATGCAAAAAGCAAGTTAGTACTCCGTTGGCTCCTCACTTCAAGCTTTCAGGTTTGCAGTCCCCTACTACTGAGGTGGAACGTGAGTACATGTCTCAAGTTTCGTATGCTAGTGCAGTTGGTAGACTTATGTATGTTATGGTTTGTACTCGTCCAGATCTTGCACATGCGGTCAGCTTGGTTAGTCGGTATATGGCAAATCCGGATAAACAGGCAGACTGTCAAGTGTATTTTACGATATCTTCAAGGATCGTTGGATGTCGGTTTGGTTTATTCGGAGACTGGAGAGTCATATGCGAGAGGGTTTGTGGATTCGGACTATGTTGGTGATTTGGACATGCGTCGGTCTACCAGCGGGTATTGTTTTGTTCTTGCCGGCAGTCCGATTAGTTAGAGGTCTATGTTAGTCTGCTGTGACGTTGTCTATTACAGAGGCAGAATACTTGGCAGTAACAGAGGCGATTAAGGAAGCGGTGTGGATATATGGCTTGGTTGGCGACTTGGGTATATCTCAAGAGGTTGTTGAAGTGCACTGTGACAGTCAAAGTGCAATTCATCTTGCGAAGATTCAAGTCCATCATGATCGCACCAAGCATATTGACGTCCGGTTTTATTTTATCCTTGAGATAATTGAGAGTGGCAAGATTCGATTGACGAAGATTGACACTAAGGAGAACCCGACGGACATGTTGACAAAGGTTGTTTCAACAGTCAAGTTTGAGCACTGTCTCAACTTGATCAATGTTCTTCGGTGTTGAGGCCCTTCGGAGCGATTTAATGGCGATGGTTGTTGAAGAGATCAGAGGTTACTTGGGTGATGAAGACTATTGGTGGCTTACTAATTTCGCCAAGGTGGAAATTGTGAAGTTGGCTGTATTGGAAGCCACCCACCGGTGGCTCATATTGAGCCACAAATTGTCAGACCTC